AAGAAAATAAATGCAGAATTATTTCATCAAGCGAAGAAACAATAGTGCCTGTAAAACAATGAATGAGTCCAAGCACACTTTCCCTTACTCCCAGAGCACACCCCTGGCTCATCTCCCAGGAGGGCAGAGATGACATCCCATAGATGGCCTGTTGTTACAGAAGCTCTTCTATCATCAGGACCAAAAGTGACTGGAGGGAAGCCAAGGTTAAAAGGAGACCAACAGAAATAAAACAGCAGTAGGAGAGCTGAAAGGAGATTGGCACATTTTAAAGCAAGCAGTCTGATTATGCAGGAAACCACAGAGCCCCCAAGTCAGCCTTGGCAGTAGCTAAAGGTCACCCCTGCTGCACGCAGATGTGCCCTAGAGGCACTGCAGCACTGGGGAGCAGATAACACATCAGTGCCTTCAGGTGAAAGAAAGCAGGATGTTCAGCCAGGAAAACCACAGTAAAAATATGCTTCTGAAGGCAGGTGAAGAAGAAAGAGAGAGAGACATGGAAAAAAGGAAATTAAGGGGTCACTAAGCATTCATGCCAAAACATCACAGGCAACAGATCTTCAATCCTCCTCATTAAGCCACCAAAAGAATGAACTAAGAAGTGCTGGCCTTCTGCATTTTAGCTGGCATGTGATTTAGCCTGCAGAAGAACTCTTTGAAGATATCCAGAAGCCCTATTTTAAAATAAAAAAAAAACCCAAACAAACAGTAATTGACATCAGTGCCAGCAGCACCACGGTCCTCTTGGGGCTATGCAAGTCAGCTGCATCCTAGAATAACATTAATTTGAATTAACTATCAGCTACAATTGTTAAACTCTGCAAATGTGCCCTTCTGTAGACATAAAGTTCAAGCCTGGTGTAAGGGTGAATTTGCAATGTAAAATGTGACTACACTGATAACTTTTCTTTAAGCATAGAGTTATACATAGAAAACAAGCCTCTGAGTGATAATTAGGCAGGAAGGGCCGGTATGGAGTATTTGAGCCAGATGCCTTGATCCAAGTGGTAGAGAAAGATCCAGTTCACAGGGGACTTGATAGCAACAGCCATAAGAATAAAATTGAGAGGTGGCTTTCATAAAAAGATGTTCTCATTCATGAAAAAGGGTCCTATAACTACATAGGATGATTTCTACAGTATTTATGTTGAAAAATCATCTTCACAACTTTATCGAGCTATTTCTCACCAAAATCCTCATTAAAAGGAGAGCCCAGAGATTTCATGTTACTCCAGCTAACAATATCACGCTTAGCTCCAGCAGAGATTCTGGTATTGCATTACCCTTCACCATTCAACCTCCTAATTGGGGCTGTCATTCTAACAACTCCAGAGCATATCCAGCAGTTTCACTATCATCTGCTATAAGTTTGGGGCTGATATAAGGAACAAGGCATGGAAACACGAGAACTCAATTTAAATTGGCTAAAATAAAGTTTATTTTACTGTTACAATATATAATCTTTTATCAACACAACTCACAAGGTGTTTACAAAATAATCTCATTTTCTGCTGCATTTTAAACACTACTTTTATACAAACTTCAAAGGTAAAATAGGAGTTTGTAGCTAAAACATTTTTTGTTACATTTTTAGAAGTATCACAAGAATTACTTCAAACAAGACTTTTTTTTTTCTTGGTGCCATCTTCACAGACAAAACTGAATGTTTATTGTAAAGACCTGCAGGAGGATTCATGAAAGCTTTCTTTAGACAAAGGATGCCAGTCCTCCTAGTCTGACTGAGCAAATGCATTTGAGCTAATATTTGAGCCATCGCCGTGCCCTTGTGGCCAGGAGGGCCAATTGTATCCTGGGGTGCATCAGGAAGAACGTGGTCAGCCAGTCAAGGGAGCTGATCCTCCCCCTGTCTACTTGGCTCTAGCGAGGCCACATCAGGAGTGCTGTGTTCAGTTCTGGGCTCTTCAATACAAGAAGGACAAGGAACTGCTAGAGAGGGTCCAGCAGAGGCCACAAAGATCATTCGGTGTCTGGAGCATCCCTCTTACGAGGAGAGACTGCGGGAGCTGGGCCTGTTCAGTCTAGAGAAGACTGAGAGGGGATCTCATCAATGCATATAAATATCTCGAAGGCAGGTGCCAAGAGAATGGTGCCAGGCCCTTTTCAGTGGTGCCCAGTGACAGGACAAGGAGCAATGGCCATAAACTAAAACACAAGCAGTTTCACCTCAACATGAGGAATCACAGAATACATTGAGTTGGAAGGGACCTGTCAGGATCATTGAGTTCAAGTCTTGACCCTGCACAGGACACCCCAGGAGTCACACCATGTGCCCAAGAGCATTGTCCAAATGCTTCTTGAACTCTGTCAGGCTTGGTGCTGAGACCACTTCCCTGGGGAGCCTGTTCAGTGCCCAACTACCCACTGGGTGAAAAGCCTTTTCCTGGTATCCAAACTAAACCTACACAGACTCAGTTTCATGCTGTTTCCATGAGTCCTGCCACTGATCATGAGAGTGAAGAGATCAGTGCCTGTCCCTCCGCTTCCCCTCATAAGGATTTTGAAGACCCCAAGGAGGTCTCCCCTCAGTCTCCTCTTCTTCAGGCTGAACAAACCAAGTGACCTCAGCTGCTCCTCGTACAGCTTCCCCTCCAGATCCTTCACCATCCTTGTGACCCTCCTTTGGACACTCTAATAGCTTAATGTCTTTTTTATATTGTGGTGCCCAAAACTGCACACAATATTCAAGGTGAGGCTGCCCCAGTGCAGAGCAGAGTGGGACAATCCCCTCCCTCGACCAGCTGGTGACACTTTGCCTGATGCCCCCCTTGACACAGTTGGCCCTCCTGTCTGCCAGGGCACTGCTGACTCATATTCAAGTTGCCATCAATCAGGATCCCCAGGTCCCTTTCTGCAGCACTGCTCTCCAGACTCGCATTCCCCAGTCTATACACACAGCCAGGGTTGTCCCATCCCAGGTGCAGAATCTCCATTTGTCCTTGTGAAACTTCATACAGCTGGTGATTGCCCATCTCTCTAATTTGTCAAGGTCTCTCTGCAAGGCCTCTCTGCCCTCAAGGGAGTCAACAGCTCCTCCCAGTTTAGTGTTGTCAGCAAACTTACTTAGTGTTCCTTTGAGACCAGCACTGATGGATCCCAGCATCTGCAAAAACATTTTCCCAGGGGACTTTACTTACTAGTTCCCTGAGCAGCCTGAAGTCTGCTCTCCCCATGTCCAGAGTCAAAGTTTTGCTGGCACTTTTCCTCCTGTCAACAGAGATTTTAAACTTGATCCCTTCATGGTTGCTGTGGCCAAGATGGCCACTGATCTCCACTTTGCTCATGAGATCCACTCTGTTGACAAGCAGCAGATCAAGGAGGGCATCTTTCCAAGTTGGCTCCCATAGGACCTGTTCCATAAAGCTGTCATCCAGTTTTTTTAAGAATCTTCTGGCCCGGGTTGTACCAGCTGTGTGATGCTCAGTTGATTTCTGGCAAGCTGAAGTCCCCCATAAAGACAAGGGCAGTTGCCTTGGAATTGTCCCTTAATTTCTCAAAGAATAATTTGTCAGTGTCACTGTCCTGGCTGGGAGGTCTACAGCAGACTCCCACGTGACATCTGCATTATTTGTTTGCCCCTTGATTATTACCCAGAGGCTCTCAACTGTGCCATTGCCAACTGTGAGCTCCATACATTTTAACCCTTCACATACAGCTATGGAAAGGATGCAGGGATACTCCTTGCCTCCTCTGCTCTGCCTGTCCCCCCAAAAAGCCTGTAACGATCCCAGAGGGCACTCCAGTCACAGAACTCATCCCACCAGGTTTCACTTATGCCATTGATATCAGATCTCTGGGACTGGTCCAAAGCTTCGAGCTCCTCTTGTTTGTTCCTTGTGCTGTGTGCACTGGTATAGAAACATTTCAAGTGTGGTACATTGTACCCAATAACTCGTGAGGCAGATTGAGGGATTCCATTAGTGTTCCCTTCCTCGAGTTTTGCACACCATCCCTTGCTCATTACTAGTAAGCCTGGTTTTGCCCCTTTCCCCCTTCCAAGCCAGCTTAAAGCTCTATCAACAAGCCCCACCAGCTCCTGTGTTAGAACTCTTTTTCCCCCCGAGAAAGGTGCATCCCATCAGGTGTCAGTAGACCAGGTGTTGAATAGATTATCCTATGGTCAAAAAACCACAAATTTTTCTGCTTATACGAGACTCTGAGCCACACGTTGACATGATGGATTTGCCTATTCCTCTCAGTATTATTCTTTGTTACTAGAAGGATTGAGGAAATTATTACCTGTGCTCCTGATCCTGCTACCAATTGCCCCAAGGCCCTGAAGTCTCTTGATTGCCCTCAGACTTCTCTTTGTTATTTTGTCGCTGCTGGCTTAGCAACCAGTAGTGGGTAGTAATCAGAGGGCCTTGCTAGACTGGAGAGTTCTCCAGTGATGTCCCACCCAAGCCCCTGGGAGACAACAAACTACGCTGTGAGTTGGGTCCTGTCTGTATCAGGCCCTCTGTTCCCCTTAGAAGGGAGTCTCTCATTACAACCACCAACTGCCCTTCTTTTCCTCTTAACAGAGGTGGTTGTGATGTGGGGTACAGGTGGTGCTGGTTTAGGGGACCCTTCAGTCCCAGAAGGACCTTTGCCCACTGCATCAGCTGTCTGGTCTTCTAGTTCCAGGGCCTCATAGCTGTTGTAGAAGGTATCAGTCCTATTTGTTAAGTTTTCAGAAGGAGGAACAACCTTCCTCCTGGTTGGTGCAGTGACCTGCTTCCAGCCTTTATCTTCAAAAGACCCTTGACTAACTGCCTTGCAGGGCTCTGAGTCCACCTGCTTCTCCACTGCAATGGAGGTTTGAGACTCCTTTTCCCTACACTGACTATAGGGAAGGGAGGAAGCCTGGTGCCTCCTGGTGCCTCCTGTGGGGGTGCCTCCCCCACACCAGTGACCAGCAAGACCATAACACACAGAGCACTCTGGTCCTTAGTGCTGCACAAGAAAATATGGAAATCTTAAACAGAAGAAAATTTGAAGTATTAGAGTTGTCACAAACCATACTATTTTAATATGTTAAAGTTACCTAAAATCCTCTGCAAATCTGGTAGTAACAGGCAAGTACTACATTACTCAACCCTGGTCTCCACTGTGATGCACTAAAACACATTGAAAAGAGTGGAAAAAGCAACCATTTTCAAAGCTGCTAGAGAGGTATGTGCTAAAGTGAATGGATTTATGCTCCTGACAGTCAAGCCAGTTGACAGATTCATGATAGCAGAATCACACCGACAGTGATCACTTTATATACAGCAAGCAGGTAGAAAGAGGTGCTACTTTTTTTTTTCATGCATAGTTTAACCAGCTTACAGCCAGCCCATCTCCATTAAGACTAGAGATGCATGATCCACCATTTGGTATAAGCCAAACTACCAGCAAATATACTTCCAGTGCAAACAAAATTGTCTTTCTTCAAGAAAAACAACTAAATTTAATGCTACTTCTCAAAAAAACCAATGCTTATGCTGCATCGTTTTCTACCTATTTTGGTCTGCATTTCTAGTTTCCTTCCTACCCCCAAATCACATATGAAGACAGATGATCACAGTACACATTTTTTTAGGCAACTCACTGTCTCCTCCCAAAAATACACTATTCTGCTCACTGAAGATCATCCCTGAGAGCACTGTTCTAGCTAGACACTTAGAAAAGCAAGAGATATCTCAGAGCTTAGAGGAAAAAAAGGCTGTTAACCCTGTGAAATCTTATGGTTTTTCGAAAGTAAAAAAAATGCAGCTACTCTGAGCATTTAAATTCCCTGAGCTGAGTGAAATTTGAAGACAGTAATTTGTAAAATGAAGCATACCAACATCTACAGCTGTACTTACAGAAGCTGCAATTTTTTACAGTGGTGAAGTCAGATGTTACACTACGATCACACAGCAGTTAGTGGTAGTTCCTTTAACTTGCTTCCTGCCACAGGAAATACAATGGCTTCTTTGGTGAGAAACAGCAGTGAAGAAGCGCCATGACTCTTCGGATTCTTTTGCCTTGTAATATTCCAGCAATCTTTAAGTTAGTGGAGATACCACCAGGCCATAGTGCAGTACAAGCAAACCATCCTATAGAGAAGAGAAAGAAACTGTATTATCCTACTTCACCTTTTCTGTGAGGCATTTCTGTCACCACCAGGCACGACAGTCACTGCATGGTAGGACCCCAGGCACGATCTCACCATTTTATACAGTGTCCCTCCCACATGGAGAATGCAAGTTTTGAAATACGAAGGCAAATAATTACGTTGCCCTTTCCTCCTTGAGATGGAGAAAGGTGTTAAAAGAAAGTAGAATCTGGTACTTTGATTTTATTTTAAAGTTATAATTGAAATATCTCCATGCAATAGGCTCTTGCTTACAAGTCATGCTGCTTTCCACATGATACTGTGGGGCAGAAAAAGTAATCCATTAAGTAGTTCTAGAAGGTGCTGCCAGAAGTTGCAGTAAAAGAGTCTAGACTACTAACTACTATATACATTTATTAAGTAATAAACACACTGGATTAAAAACACTCCAAATGACAAACCATTAGTTTATTAAGTTATGTTTCTCCTCTTCAGAGACTGCTCCACATAATAAAAAAAACCTTTCACCTGGGAAACAGGACACTTCTGACCCATTAGCTTTATTAATGCCACTTAATTCACACTCAGCTGGTGAAAGGCCTAGCACTTAGTCTGCCTTCAATGGGAATCTGACTTATTGCATTAGACCTCTTTACATGGACAGACTTTAAAAAAGTTTTCTTTTGAAGAGAGAACTACATTAATCATAACTGACACAGTATTATCTACTATATTTTGCTTCCGATGTTTTTATCTACTAACATACAGGATGTAAGACAACATGTTCCAGAGAAGTTACACGGTTCTGTGTGAGAGGGTATATCAGCATATTAAAAATAATCTTTAATTAAAAAGTTAATTACCCAAAAAAAGTAACAAGACCTCCATCACTTTACAGGTCCTGTATTATCATACAGTAACAGGAGAAAGTGCTGTTTTAGTCTGAACACGGTGTTTTGGAAGAATATATATATATATTTAAACCATAATTTGTTATCTGTGTAAAAATGGTTTTGATTAGTTTGTGCAGCCTCAACTATTCATAAAAAAATAATCTTTGAGCCATTTTGTATTGGATTAAATTTAAGACTAAGCAATTGATCACCGACAGCTCCAGAGCATGTTCCTCCATGAGTGTCATGCACTTCACTTTGTTTCATGGCTGCTTATGATGACAAATGAGGCCTAGTGTAGTGTAGATGTCAATGAACCTCAGCTTCAATGGTCAGCAATTAAAACCCCCAAATGCATTCCTGTGTTATTAGTGCCAACTGACTAACTTTCCTTCATCTTCTCATCCTGTTATTAACCAGGAATAGATTGCTAACTCCTAAAACGATACAGAAGGATACAGGAACTTTATACTAGACACTGAAGAAGTGAGTTAAAGTGGGATGGCTACGTTGCAAAATGAAGAAAGAATCATGATTGTTCTCACTTCTTGTTATGTGGAACAGGTCCCATGAGGTTACTTAGGAACCTCTTGGCACACAGGACGTTGTTACACATTCACAAAGCTACTTACTCCTTGTGCCCATTAGCTACTTCAACAGAGAAAACAGATATTTTCAAGCTTCATTTTTTGGAGGACTGTTGTCAAAATCAGTTCTTCCTCTATGGTAGTTTCTTAAAGAAATATTTATAAAAGAAGAAAATGCTACACTGTATTCTTTGATGAATGGGTTTTCAATGGTACATTTAACAGTAGGACATTTAAAGAAATTATCTATTTACACAGGAAATATCCCTGGTAAATCAAAGGCCAAACCCACTGCAATTCCTTTGGCACAAAGCAAAACTGTGAGTTACCCCAGTACTGGCACTTCTTACTCTGCAATTATTCACTTCTAAAGTACTACACATTTCCACATGTCTTTCTCTAGACACTGTTCTTAAAAGGAAGCCCAAACAGAGAATGTGCTCTCACTGCTTATTACAAATCTCAAGCCAGTTTAACTCAGGCTCAAAAGAAACGCAAAGCTCTCCAGGGCTCTTTGCCACACATTTGTGACCCTGGCCTAAAAAAAATTAAAAGGACCCAACCTGTTACACCCAACTATAGAGTTGAACTGACAGACTGAAACATCAGAGTATACCCCCCTCTGATGTTATAAGAGCAGCAGCAAAAAAAAGTGCCCCACTTTCCAAGTTCAATAATCCCACAGCAAAGAGTAAAACACTTCCGTAGCAAATGTGTGCTAGAAGGTCAGAGTAATTAAATTAGAGCACAGCTCTTGCTGCCTAGCTCAGGAGACCAAAAAATAGCGCAATAGCATTGGGTTACAAAAAGGTGAGAGCTACAAAGAAACCATTAGAATCTGCCAAACCTCTGTGCCAAGGGCCAAGGACATCACGGAAGGCACTCCTTTTAGCTTTTCCCATGTGTGAGCTCATTATATCCATCAGTGATGCAGAACTCTGAGAAGGCCCAGTTTCAGACAAATGAAAATAACCAGCAGCTTGGATCATGTTGCATTTGTGCAGCAGAGGGGAGGAAGGTAATACAGAGAAGAAATTATATTCCCATAAAGTTAATAATAAGCTTCCTTCCTCAGCTACTTGATCAAACTCTTAATTACAGATCTCAATGCTTGGTAACAAAATTCAGCCTTTAAAATTTTCTGTGTCTTTGATCACTCCTTGCAGTAAATTCCACAAGTTCTACACTGTTTTAAAAATAAAACAAAGTTGCTTCTTTTTATATAAATTCTGTGCAGCAATTTTTTTAATGTTTTTGCCCTAATCAGAGCTAGAAAGCCGACTTCCAGCTAATTAGGAAGATTCAACCAACCACCCAATTTCTGAAATGTCAAAACATCTTGAGATCTACAAGATTAAACAAGATTTATTGCTGATTCTTTTTTAGCCTTCTATCAACTACTCAGAAACTAACATGCTTACATTCAACCACTAAAATTAGTTGCTTATTTACTTCAATTAAAACAACCTGAGTAGATTACTATGGGGCCAGAGTCAGGAATACTTATTTTATCATCAGATCACACTTGATCTTCCCACACTTCCTGGACAGGTGCATACATATTCAGAACAGCTAAAATCCTGCTAGTTGCACCTAGAGGAGACTTTAATTTACTGAGGCTCTACAGCACCACTACACAGTGCCAATCAGCAGGAAAAAAAACAAATACAGGACCCAAAATCTTCACAAGACTGTGCTCACAATCTGAGCATTTAAGAACAATTCAGGAGGAGTAAAAGACACTAAAAATAAAAAGTCACAGTGACTATGGTCCACAAGAATAAATCACACAAACATATGTTATGCTGCATTGCAAATGCTACCAAAGAATGCACATTAAAATTAATGTCTTTGGGAAAAAGAAATTTATCTGCATTTTTAAAATCACTTTCCCCAGCAAAAAGAATAACTGCTGACACGAATGAACTAGCAAGTGAAAAACAGCAGGGTTTTTTTCCCCTCTAACAGTGGCTGTAGTCATCTAAACAAAAGCCCAGTGTTTATTCCCTTAAATGACTTTGTGTTGCAGAAGTAGCTACTGAAGCTATTTTCTTAGCATGAAGCATCTATAATGAACATCAGAAACTGGTAAATGACAAGAGCAGTTTTGAAGAGTGTCTCAGCGTCCCAGTGAGAGCTGTTAGGGACGTTCCAAGCTCCAACACTAATTTGGAAAGGCTGGAAAGTTACAGAGGCACAAGATGCCCTTGGAGCTTAATGTAAAATTCATCAAATATTCCTCTGTAGATGTCTCACTGGCCAGGACAACTGTGCCTCTTATTGAATTTCAGGTCCTGGTGAAAAATAAACACTCATTATTTTTAGACTTGACCTATCAGTTTATTTTTTTTCCTGGATAATTATCTAAAAATATTTTCCAAGGTTTATTTCATCCTAGAAATGCATCCTCATGATTTCTAAAAGATAATATAATGTTAGACTAAAGAACATGAAAATGTCACAATTATTTCAATACAAAAAAAGAAGCAACTGTGGTTTATTTGCAACGTTCCTACTGTAACTATTTGGTATCCTAAGAGATTTTCTAACAAAATGAAGAAAAATTAAGGATGAACCTGATCTTTCAAGTTTCCTGTCGGGAGTGACTATGAAAGCACAGGACTTCAAAAAAGCAAAGATATTTTTTGTTTATTTGTCCAATAGAGCAGTCTTGAGGGAATTAACTGTTAGCATACTGATTTTGTAATAAATGACACTTGAAACCTCACTGCAAAATGTATCCCAAGACAACTGTTCTCTTTGTGGAGCTGCTGACTGGTACCTCATCACTAAACATCAATCAGGCAGACCCACTTCTGACAACAAATGAAAGACACTAAACTTCAACTAGGCAGATCCATTTCTGACAAGAAATGAAACTCAGGCAGTATTCCTTAAAGTGCTTCCCCAAGAGTATTTTCCATACATTAAAGGCTTTCATGCTAAGATCAAGTTTAAAAAGCATATATGTGACTATATCCCCAGACTGAGAAACATATAATCCTCCTGCCATTTACTGGAGCTTTTAGTAGATGGCACTTCCAGCATTATATGCTGACTGCTGAATTTACTTAAAATGAACACATTATGTTAGAAACAAGCTTGTTACCAGTACCTGCTTCCTCCCGGTTTCTATCCCCTACTCCTCAAAGTGGGTTGGGTTACATTTTCATTTTTCTTCACATATAAACAGCTAAAACATCAAGTATGGCATATATTCACTTTGACTGCAGAAACAGCACAAGCTTCAGAGACTTAATGTCTGCCAAAACTACAAGCCAAATACCTCTGCCTTGACTGTGGGATTCCTCCTAGTGACTCAAATCAGGTATAGGTGATGCAAAGTCCAAGATATCTCAAAATCAGCTTTCCACTTCTTGGCGCTGACACAGAAGCCTCCCTGTAGCATGAGAGGGCTCAGCAGGAAATTTAAATGTAAAAGTTTGTGCATATGTGTGCACAAAGAAGTGAAGAGAAACGATTCTGCAACTTTTTCAGCCCTTCTACTATCTGTTTAGATTGCTTTCCAAATAAAACACCAATCTAAATCCTATTTTCCCCACTGTATTAGACTAAACATTACCTTCTCAAACTTCAAAGTTCATATTAATATACAGTTTACCATACCATGATTTTACATCTCTATTCTACTATGCATTATGCAGACGAATTCATTCTTTTTGCAGCACTTGTAAACTGGTGTGATCCTTCCCATTATAAAGATGCTTGAAAATGTTCACAAAGAATTAAAACCAAATGCTTTCTTATTTGTAAAGCCAGCAGCACTAAGGATAGTAAGTTACCAACAAGGAATAGTTGGCCATGCTGTGAGCAGAACCAGTACAATATGCATCAAGCCTATTAACTGCATTCACTAGCCTCCATCTTTGGTTTGTGTTTTTATGAGCAAGTTTATCCTCCTTACTCAGTCACAAGGACAGCCTTATTTAGGATTTGTCCTCCAATTTCTTGCAGAGATGCAATTACCAGGGAGGAAAAACAAGCCATGGTAATTGAAAGAATGGCTGATATAATATATCCCTTTTTTGTTTTGGGGGAAAAAAACCCAAACCCCAAACAAAACCCAACACAAAACCCTCATATCCAGAACATCATGAAAATGGTCAAGAACACTGTCAGCACATGGTACACTTCTCAACTCTACTTAAAAGATAAACAACATTTTGCATAAGCTGGAGAGATCTGAGCAACTTCTTCAGACAAGCTGGTGCTTCCTGATAGCTTAAGAAAGAACCAATCTTCTATTTTAAAAGAGAAAACCTGGAACAAAGCCCCAGCTGCCACACGTACCTGCACTGCGCTCTCTCCTATGACTTGACGAATTTCCCTCAGTGTCTGGTAGTGCTCCAGCAGGTGATCACCACATATTATGTCCACCTGTGAAAGAACACAAACATGGTCAAGTTCAACTACCTTTGTAGTAGCAAAACCATACCCAAGGCCTTTTAATTTGATTAGCAGAGTTCAATTCTAGCATGTTAGACACTCAAGTCATCTTTACCTTTATTGTCCAAACGTATTTAGCATGCACAGCACTACTGCACTGCCCCAATGCCTCTCACCCCATGGCCCTGACTTGGGGCTCACTGCTGAAACAGAGCGGACAGTTTATTGTTTCACTCACAATTTGGTGCACCCACTGAAAGAAGCTGTTTAGTAATAGCTGTGATGAATTTAATGGAAATTTAGATCATGTACTACAGTGATGCCAAAAACATCTGGAATCATTTGTCACATCAGTGGCAAAAGACAGTTGTGAGCCTCATTCCTACCTTGAGTGAGAAAACATGTGACTAAGTTCACTTGAGAAGTGTTTGGAAGAAGTGTTTTAATCTCACTGCATGCCTCTGTCAGCTGGTACATCACACAGTCCTCCTTTAACATGCACCCAGTCAGTATTTCTGGGACACAACTGCAGGACATACTCAGCACTTCTATGCATTGTCCTCTTCTGCAGCTAAACTGTGTCAATGCTGTATGCAATTTCAGACGAGGCAGTTTCTTTAAGTAACTGCCCACAAAACCAGTAATTTTGTGGGAAAAAAACCCCATAACGAGGTATTCTGAATTCCTTGCCTTAACTATTATAAAAAATAGGCTTCTTTATAAAGTTATATGAATTTACTGTGCAATGCAAATCCAGTCTTTAACATTCCAAATTAGAGCAGCTAACACAGCACTGTTTCTCTCTCAACTGCAGCATGCTTAAATTTTCCTTATGAGCAATTTCTAGATATGGAAGTGAGAGTGCTCTCGTTTTTGACTTGAAAAAACCTTAAAATTGAAGTTAAGAGCATTGACACTGAGCTGTCCCACAGCTTTCTGCAAGGAAATTGTCTCAGCTCTGCCCCTGCAGCAGTCGGGGAGCACACTGCAATATCATGACGTATTCTCTTATATGGCCACTTTCCAGGACAGGATGCACTCTGTGCTGCAGCTATTCAATTCCCCTGGATTTATATTCTTCTGTGTGCTGACCCACTATATCTCTCTTGTTCTTCATGAAGAGATTTGGCAAGATTTATGCCTCATGCTGGCAGACCACATTGTTCTGAGACTCAGGAACACAGGAATTCTACTCCTCAGAGGCTCAAAAGGGGCTAATTTACTTCACCATCTGTATCCTATGAGGACGATGTAGAACATTCTCTTCAAGTTAGGTTGATTGTTTACGTGCAGAAGATGTAAACTGCTTAGCATTATTCCTGCTTTTAGCTTCTAGAAGTAAACCAGCAAGTAAAAACTAATCTGGATGTAAGATTAAATACTGATCCATATACACACAAATGCATATATTTAACATCAACATGTGATGTATTTAACACAGCACCTGAAAGACATATATTTCTTTTCTTTTTGAAAACTGGCTAGTTATTTCTCCTATTTTCCATGCATTTCAGCCTCTACAGTTATTACTGCAGGAAGACAGACATGTCTGCTTTGCTTTTCAGTAATACATGAGTTTAATTACTTTTGTTTTATAAGCTTATTTTTATACTATAAGGCACTGAAAACTCAATCCCGGTCCCATTGAAATATATATACATACATATTTTATATATTCTAAAGAAACAGAAAATCTAATCTGTTTGACCAATATAAGATGCAAACAGACACAGGTGCAGCTGCTGACAATCTCTCAAAACAGAATTAGAATGCTTGTTTGAAAGTATCCCATTGTTGTACCTGCTGCTCCAGTTTCAAGTGATAGTCATTAAAGAGCCAGTGTCTAATAATAAATTGAGAAGAGTTTTTCACATTTATTGTACTAGAATGCTCTGAACACCAAATGCCTAACGTCTAATTCCAGCACCAAAGCCTGAAATTCTGCCTGCTAATTGTCATGCTAGAATTCATTCTGTAAGGACAAAAGAATGAAATATATACTTAAAAAAAATCCCAGTTCAGTGTGAAAATGAGTTGTGGAATGTGTTTCAGAGGAATCCTTGTTTAGGAATTAATACATTGCATTGCAAAAGAGGCAATGAGTACTATAGATTTACTAAAATTTGGTATAATTGAAATCAGCTGGTACTGATTGCTTGTAATAAATGTAGCTTGACCCTTTGCTGAAAAAAAGCATGAAGGTGTAGATGCTGAATACTCAGTCACTTGTTACAATTCTTATTAAAATAAAGTAGGCTTTCTATTATGCCATTTCTTTTCTTTAGGTGGCTTATCTGCTATAAGAGCTATTTCTCTAAAAGCCACGATAACAGGCATTTATAAATTCATAATCACTAAGTAAGACAGAAATAAAAATAGAAAAAGTTCATGTAAGGGACACTGCATATAAGCTTCATCCCAAGGGAGAATTTGGCCCAGAAAACAGTAGACTTCAATCAATAGTTTCTATGCCAACCCATACTATCCAGGGAAGGGCAAGGAAAACACAGAGTTTTAGAGACTGACATGAGAATTTGGGCTAGTTATTCAAAAAGCTGTCAAAGCTTCCCATTTCCTCTAGCTGCTATTTACTTTTCAAAAGGTACCCGATACCTCTATTCCAGGGTTTAAGACTGGCATAAAGAAACTGCATCAACAGCTACACTGTATGAGCACAGACTTCCTTTCTTCCAATCTTCCCCTAGGCTGCAGTTCACACACACACTTTCAGGAATGCACATCTGGTAATGGAACACTTTTATTCCACAAACTACGTTAATGTATTTGGACCAGCCAAGCCACAAGTCTTTCAGCAATTGCTCTCATCCTTACAGAATGAATACCAAGAAGGGACACTGCTGCTGCAGGATGACCTCAAAGGAAATCACACTGTAAAGAAAACTTCTGCATCAGCTGCTGAAGACAAGAATCTAATGGTTCCAAACACCATAGCCTGTATTTAGCTCACATGTAATGTTACCTACTCAGCTATTAACAGCGATTCCAGTTTCTCAAAAATTATTTTCACCCTCTCCTAACAAATTCCAGCAAGAATATTCAAGAAAGACCGTGTAATTAGAAGTATACATAAACATATACAGAAAACTAATCATTGCCCAAAGCACAGAGATCAAAACAAAGCATCAGAAAGAATAAATTACCAGCTCAAGGAGTAGATAAAAATGAAGCCTTAACCTTCAGATAAACTAGGAAATTTGAATCATATTCCACTTGCAAACTCAAATACAGAAATTTGAAAATAATTTGAAGCCTCAGACTAGGAAAAAAAAGAACAAAGGCAGTGGCTTCAAAATTGCTTTTATATATACTGTAACACACGAGTCAGCTGGCTTATTGTACAATTTCATTAACCCCAATGTGGTGCAGGTCAATGAAGAAGGGCGAGTATTGGCTAACATTGCACACGAACAAATTGAGCCGAAGAGGCCTGAGCACAGTCAGCAGTTCAGGAGAACGGGTGACACACCTATCCCTGGGTCACTGAATCAGCTCTAACAGGGAATGAGTAAAACATTTGCCCACTAATAGGGGATCATATCTGTCTGGCAAAGTCCAAGTAGAAAGTAACTAATGGGGGAAAACCGCTCAAGTTAGCTCTGTTAGATGATCTCAAGATTGCAAAATCTGAAAGACCACTACACATGGGCCCAGTTTAATTTTGAAAAATGAATGCCTGCAATTTCCATGACAGCTGCTCAGTATTCCTAAAAACTGAGATTCTGGTGTCCTACTTAAGAAAATCCAAACAAAACAATTCATTCCCCTCAAATAAACCACAACTCGATGCAAAAAGCTTCTCTAGCCTCATTTTGAGGATACTTTTATTTGTTCAGAATATCAAGTCATCACCACCTGAAAGCTAGAAACTCCCACTGAGAGGAAACCAGCAAATGAAAATACATTACTTCCTCAGCACGATGAATAATTTATATCTGATTTGCTTTGTCACCACCAAAAGGTAAGCAGCATGAATAAACACTCATTACTGAGGCACACAGCCATGCTGTATTGTCTCAGACACTTAGTGCTGTATGAAAACAGCCTTAACTCCAAACCCAGCATTTAAGTTCCACCATTTGCCTATTCACAGCAGTATCAGCTTGATTTTTCTGATAATTGACAGCTTTAAGAATTATTTACACCTTACAGAACTCCCACATTTTCTCAACAGAATGGTTGCTGAAATACACTGAAGAATTGAAAAACTGGTTTTGACATGCAGTTCCTCTCAAAACGGTTGAGAAATATGAAGCTAAGTTCTTTTGCTCCTTTGAATTCTTATTTGGAGGGAAGTGTCTATATTTGCATTCGCACCTTTCATTTCAACACATCCATCATTCTTTCTTAGCCCTTGTTTGTATTCAGTTAAATTTTATTGTTATTCAGCTCCTGCCTTCACATACTCCCACATTCCCACACTTTCCTGTCCAGTTTTACCTTTGAAACAGCAGTATCTCTTAGTTTTGAATTTCATCAGCTGAAATCTTAAATGGCACTTTAAAAACTCTATCCAATTAATAAAGTATTATGAAAATTTAAAGAGGTTGCGAATGAGCTAGGAGAGCTGCTCCTTGCAGATCACAACATTTCAAACAATTAGTTTTTTAATCCTTACTGCATTAATCTAACATTACTTCTAGAATCTAAAGAACAATGGTAATGTCTGCCCAAAGCAGGGGCATTACACTGATCACAGGGAACTTGTAAGTGCCACTGCAAGTGCATACCTGACAAGCAGGGTCCAGATCCATTTTTCTTCTGAGGAATTTCTCCACATGTCCAATTGTTGCCTCCCCAGAAACACGCACAAACTTCTTTTCCAAAGGCTGCAAGGAATAAGTAAAGATTTTAAGACAATGTACATTTTCAGCCCTCACCCCTTGTAAACTCCAAACCCAAGTGACCGTCCAATAACAAAGGGAGACAGCTTAAATTTTTGGACCTTTCTCTGATCTACTTGCAGATTACCTCATAGGGAAAGAAATAAATATGTATTAAGACTGTATTCAAACTTCCTTCTCTTTAAAACATTTAAAAAATAACCAGCAACTGACTTCAGTCCTATTTTATTTTAAGAACTTCTCCCTCTACAAGGATTTACTCATCTGAAGCACAAGAAAATTTCCTAATGTTTCCATATTTTCTCCAAATCAGGCTTGTATACTAAACACAATTCAGATACTTAAACCCCATCATTTTATGATGCAAGGAGCTTAAGTCCTTTAGCATTCTAGAAGTAGTATGGATCATGCTTAATAGCCCATGAAATTCCAGAATCAATTAAAATATACTATTATGCAGAAAACAAGGGCAAGACTAGTCTTAAATCTTTTTGCTTTTTCCTAAATACTTTCACAGACGGGACTGCAACCAGAAGACATTCATTATGTCAGACTCAAAAATTTTAATAGGCTTCCATTCTATGGATTAAATTTTAAACAGCTGACTGCTGATATGGACGACTACACAAAAAGGCACAAAGGCAGAGCAGATGACTGCATTCAGTGTGATAAATGGATTACTTTTTGTGTCAATTGATTGGATTTTTATGTTGACTTCTGAACAGATGTGATTTACTACCCAGGTTCATCGTATTCTTTCAAAATAAAAGAACGAGCTGAGGGTCATGGACTACCCTTGAATTCAATCATGCATTTAAATAAGTATCCATGATAACTCTGCTTTGGGAACAATAGTTTGATTTATTCATGTGCAAGAGCTAGAAATTACAGTCAGACCTGATCTGGGGACCCTGCTGCTGCAAGCTCGAGGATGCTGAATTTAGGCTTGCTGCATGTATAAATCAGTTTATGGCCATGGACCTGGTAACCCATTCTCTGCTCCCCCATCCCCATTTACAAAAAGGACAGTTGAAACCCCTTATATATTAAGTATAACTCCTTATATATCTATATCTATATCTATATCTATATCTATATCTATATCTATATCTATATCTATATCTATATCTATATCTATATCTATATCTATCTCATATCCCTTATATATATATATATATTAAATTCTACATCTAGTTCTCGTGAGGGAATTTCCCTTAAGGGTGGGGCATCACAACTGCCCTGTTTTGTGTAGCGCAAAACAAACAGGACAAACAACAAAGCAGAAAGGAGGGCAAATGTGAGACAGAAAGGGTAGGAGAAGATATAAGGGCAAGAACATGAAAAATATACTGTGAAATGTAAGGGTAAAAAGAAGAAAAAATGCTAGATAGGCATGATGGTATATAACAATAGGTTTGAAAGTACACACTGCAATCCAATATTGGTTATTACTATGTTGATGAAAGTTCAGGCTGCATTCAGTGTAAGAAAACCAAACTAAATTAAATACATTCAGGGCATACTTATTTCTGAAATAAACCATAAAAGAAAAATTCAAATCACATCTGTACCTTAAAATTCCCTGTGCCTTCGTTAGCTCTGGAAAAAAAACCAAGAGTAAACACACTCAATATTGCTAAAGCTAACAGTTAATAATATCCTCAAGCTCTTTATAACAGAGACTTATTGATTTATGAGTCTTGCATATCAAGCTTATTTTCCCAGTTCAGGCTCTAATACATGAAATAATATTAGACTAAATTTATACATCTTTTTCTCCTATCCCTTATTTTTCTGCTCAATTTTTTCTTGTGAATTGAACTATTTATGACTTTAAGGTTTGTCTACATGAAATGGGAGTAAAAACCAACACAGCCTACAGCCATTTTTAAACACAACATTAATTTTCATAGGAGTTGGTTGCAATATTAATGCTGCTTAAATATCCATACTTCAAGGTCCTTGATATTTGGAACTTCAGCAGACAGTACCTAAGAAGTTACTCACGGAACACACATAAACACCTAAAGGGCTCCCTGAGCCAGTTGCTGGCCTTCCAGACTATTTATATGACAATATTAATGTTATCTCGGAACTCAGAAAAGCAGCGTTTCTCTGGAATGTGAAATACACACAAAGATGGCAAATGACCAAATTCCCCGCTGGCTTCCACCAAGGTTCACTGATTTGCACATCTGGAGCCTGTGACCTACCACTGATCATCCATACTCCACACCTTCTTCTTGTAGTGCAACATATAAATTTGTCCCTTAATTAAACCCAATCCACGACATTTCATTATTCTTGCACTGCATTAGCAAGTACACATGAGAGAGGAAAAAATGAAGTATTTCATTGCACTGGAGAAGGTAAAAATCAAACATCACTGTAAATCAAACGACCATTTGGTATAACAGATAAATGTGCAGACCACACATTAGCACAGCACTTCAAGTTACCATAACTGAGCATCTCCACCTCTAAATATATATCATATATCAGAGTTAAGTAAAGCTATCATGAGCTAAGAAACATAGAAAAGCTTTTTCACTACAGCTGTCATTTTATTTGATACAGTTCCACAGCCACAGGTGACTAGATTATATACTCTAAACACACAATAGAGAATTTCAAAGTAACAATTTCTTCTGGCTATTCCAAGTTTGCTTTATCCAAAATGCTTTATTAATCCCTCATAACCAAGATGAACCAAGATTGGTTTTGCCTGCAGAACACTCGATAGTTTTAGTAATGACTCCCACTGCTGTCAGCTGTGCTTGTAAGCATTCAGCTGCAAGGCAGGCATGAGAAAATGAACTGAAATTAAGTCAGGTATGTGGATTCACAGTGTCAAGAATTTTATATTATTTGAAAGCAGCTGAGTGCTTGCTTGACATTAGTAGCAAGGATTGTTTGTTAGGCCGCAAGTTGAACTCTACTTGAACTACATGGTTCTGTTGTATAAATCAAAGATGGGTTACAGCAAAACCTGCAGCTAACAACCTGAACATTAACAAGAGTTAGAACAGACAAAGCTAGCACCTTAAATATTATTTAAAAAATAACAGCGGGAGTGGACAGCCCATAAATTGTCGTATATGAACAGTAACAACCATATTACAACATGGACCACAGAACTGACCAAAACAGACTAAAGAGGATGTGAAGATGATCACACAGCAAGCACTGGATAACGAAACAGTGAACCAAAGAAGAATGAGAAGATCCCAGACCCTAAAATCACTATTGTTCTGGACTTCCATGAGGGATGGGGAGTTTAGGTCATAAGAGTGTAGTTGCCCAGGAATTTCTTTTGTTGTGGTCCCTCTAGTGAGGTACCAGCTTGAGCTACCAGATGACTGATTTGTGCCAGTAAACCTATCTAATCGAGTTGAGAGCCTGGAGTCAAAACTTTAACACACAAGGATATTCTTTTGTTCCCTAGAGGTTCAGCTTTAAGACCTTCCCTTTTCTTCCTGCAGTCCCACTCCTCATCCATTTAAAGAAATAAAGAAGACACACGATGGGCAACACAAAAATAAAGCCAACAAAACAGAAAACCACATGCCACCACCTACCTTACTAAAATTTACCCATGAAGAACATTTGTTCTGTACTCTGAATAAAGTGACACACAGTGGAGAAACTGGACATAACATATAAAAAGATGTCTACAAAGAGTGAGGCTGAATCAAGATATGCTTTGCCAACAGAACTTCTGAGTTTCTAAGGGCTTAATTTTATGTCATTTGTGTAACAGTTTGTTATGATTATGTATTGGAGGTCTCAATGTTTTGTTCAGACAAATTCAGGCCAAAACGAGGCACAATCTGGGTAGAGGTAAGAGTTACACTTCCCACAAGCCAATTCAAGGACAGCCAGCATTAACAGTACTGCCACCTACAGGGATGAGAGGGCTGGAACAGACAGGGATTCCACCGTTCAGTTTACTGAGACTGTGCTACCTTGTCAAAATCAAAACACGTGTAAGTTTTAAAACTACACTTTCTGGGAAGCTATTTTTATAGAAAGACACACCTTAAGCATTTAATTATTTGCATTATCTAGCTATGATTGGCTGTCACTATTGCACTGTAAGTTAAAACCAACTCCCCACTGCTATTTGAGATGAAGAAATGCACATTTAATGAAAACCAAGGGCCAGTTAATGGTCCAACACACACAAGCAGCACCTTCGTGTCAGCCAGCTGCTCTTACATTTGCCCACAACTCACCCAATAAACTCCAGAAGTATGGAGATGTCAAGTTCCGGTGGAATCCGGAACACTGAGCCTAGAACCTTACGAGGTCTTCCTCTGCTCGTTGGAACTGGCTGTGGGACAGCTAAAACATTCAAAAAGCCAAAATGCAAAGACAATTTGAAATAAAAACAGCATAAGATGCTAATATGCACCAAGCAAAACAGAAGAACTCCTCAGGAAAAAAAGCCCATACAATTTATCCTATTTTTTATTACTAAATCAGGTCTTCCTACATTGTGTGCTGTGTATTTGAACCAGCATTTTAGTACTTCCAGCAAGACCCTTCTCCTAAGAGCTGTTTGTTTGATAGTAAAACACAAAATAATTAGAATAATCCCTAATCTGTGAGCAGACTTTGATGTTCTTATTTTTACTCCTTCGTAATGTCTATTATTTATTAAGGTCCAGAAAATAAAATTAATGCACAATATAACATACATTTCCTGGTCGTAGGCAAAATATATAGCTAAAACAATCCAACCATTATCTGGGTTTAAGATAATTGCCAATTCCATCTATTTTCGTAATCTGACATCTGTGACAAGTTATAGTAGTCAGATAACCAAGAATTCCAAATTTCCAATACACACATCTCTGTCAGTTGTGAGCTAATGTTTTAAGGCCTTATGAATAAATTATATAGTAAGTACTTCCCTAACAGTGTCCCCTAAAGTGATTACAGCTCACCTGGTTTGGGCACTTCTAATCCTCTTTCTTTATAGAAGTCATGCATTTGTTTTTTCTCTCCTGAAAAAAAGAAAATGTTATTTCAGATGCTGAAAATATCCATGTAAATTCCAGTGGTCAGAACAGTAAAATTTTTCAAATTTCCTACAGACCTTCACCATCACTAGTATTCCATATGAGGTTGAGACACTTAAAATACTCAGAATAAGATTTTGTTAGTAAAAACTGGGAAGAAATCAGAGAAATTGGCCATAAATCATACTGAGAGAGCTGCAAAAAACAGTACCCTTCTGCATCCATGATTGTTTTTCATACATTTTACAGTCCATACATATCCACTAGATTGTTGGCTCCTAAAGTTGAAAGTAAATGAGACAGTGAACACATTTAAAAATCAGACAAATAAATATGGCAGAAAAGAAGAAAAAATAAAAGAATTTGAGAGAATCAGTCTTAGCAACTTATTTCAACCAAGTCAAGTGAACTTGTTACACAGAATATGGTATACTTCTACAAAAATAAGAGGCATGACTATGAAATATTGCCTGGATGTTTACCTGAACACAGTGACACCTGTGTTTCACGAGATAGGGTACACATTGCTACCCTTAATAGCACTTAGCAGGCAGAAGCATGACAGTAATCACAGTTAATTCATTAAGGTTTATAACCAAACATTACAAAACTATTTTAAAGAGTCCAGAGTAGAAACAGGGCTTTTAATTACTCTGTTTCCTGTTTAGTCTTTTCAATTTCTATATGGCAATAAAGAAAGGGACTTACTTTCCTCAAGATTGACAACTAATTTATAGACTATGTCTTGCAGTTGCCGGTCCAGTCTACGAAATAGAAAAAAGAAAAGAGAGCCTTTGGTGCAACACGAAAGGGTTTCATTTTATTGTAACAAAGATGCAAAATACACTGTTGAAACATGACGTACCTAAAGGAGCATGTGGAGCAGCAACTCCACATCTTTCAAAATACACATCCTGACAGCAGAGCTCCAACAAAAGTCATGTAAAGTTCAAAGCACCACCCTTCGTGAACAGCTCAAGAAGTTAAAACTCAATTTTCAGTTAATGAGTATACCATGCCAACAAAGCTTCATCTTTGTATGATGCAGCTCATATCACCTCCAACAGTGAGTAAACACATAAAAATAACCAGGGTAGAAGGTAATAAACCCTAGAAATGGATACAAACTAGATAAAACAGTATATTGAGGGAGTTTTATCTTAACTATTGAGATGAAACTTACGTAAACAAAGAACACAATGTGTTTCTTGCAGCTGTTCCTTCATTTGAAATAGGAAAGCACTACAAGTCTGCAAACTAAAACATTTAAAAGCAAGCAGCAAATCTATAAAAAATGGCATAAACTTATTACCTGATATTATAAAGGGGCTGTGTCTGATGTACAACAATATTGCATTTTGGACATCTGTTGCTATAGTAGAAGTGTCTCACGATGCAGCTTTTACAAACTGTAAAGAAAAGAAACCCCGTGGGAGTCACATGTCCATTATACAGTGCCATCTGTTCAGGCAAGAGGAACAATTACACCCGGACCTCCCAAATAAAATTTGTCAAGAGGCAAAATGAAGTAAGTCATTGAACACTCCAAATTCAACTGATGCAAAGGTGGGTGTTCAGTGTTGCAACTGTGTTATCTAGAACATGACTAGAATTAAGACAACAGAATACTGACTGCTGAAAAATATCCTAAAACAGTTTCAGTAGAAACAAAGTAAGAAATCATAACTGCCATTTTCATTCTGTTTTACATGTACTTAAAAAACTTGGAAGGAAAGCTAACAAGTGAAAATATCTAGAATATATAACCTACTATCAAATCAGCTCCCTACAAGCCTGAATACAACAAACTTTTCCACGACATTTACCAGGAAACTTCTACGAGATCACCACAGCTGCACTTGCAACATTACATCGTCCTTACTAACAGTTGTGCTTTTTCCTAAATTACAAACTGTGCTGAACACTATCAGCTATATAACAAACTAGTCAGCAGTGCCCCCAAAAAGGGGGGAAAAAAAAATGAAAAAGAGTTTTCCCTCTTCGTATTGTGAGTGGTTGGGAGGTCTAGGAAGCCAGGATTCTCGGTTTCAGGTAGGAACATGGGTGTAGCTGAAAATCAGCTTCACAGAAAGGGTTTTATTAGCTTTAAGAGAAAACAGTTCTGTTACCAAGGGAAAAGCTGTTAGCACTAGGACTGAGGGGAAGAAGAACAAGACAAGCATATCGAAATAAATTTTTTTTATTACCCATCTATTTCTATTCATGAGATTATAGACAAACTTCCCCAGGGGTACAGACCACAATTTCTGTATCTGAACTGGTACTTCCACACAGGTGCTTATGGAACTTTGTGAATTCACATCAACAACAGTTTAGGAAACTCTTTAGTTCACTATAAGCAGAGCCACTTAACTTTCTTTTCTCAGTTATATACTCAAATTCCTGGAGCCTACTTAAAAAAAGTAATTGAGAAAGTGTACATAGCAGCTCCATTTTTGTCTTATTTGGGCTTTTTCTTTTCTTACATCGTTTTCCCTCTTAACTTGGAAAGCAGACTTGGTGATCGAGTGATTTCATGATTTTCTGATGCTTTAAGTATGCATGAATATATGTCCCTTATGGAACAGAATAAACACAACACACATTCACTTCAAACAATTATTTCTGTGAACCCAGAACATCTCAACACCGATTTTGTTTGAATTTGCAACTAAACTCTTAAACAGATAACACTGATACTTACAGGTGTGCAGACATTCTGTAATAGTTGTAGCATCAATAAAGTAACCTTTGCAGATGGAACACAGGATATAAGGGGTCAACTCTGTGAGGTTTATCATACGCTACAAACAAAGACAGTTTGTAAGAGTTTGAATACACAGGCTAAGCCCTGAAATTTCCTGATTGCAACTTCCAATATACTGTAGCCTTAAACCATGAAAAAACCTGGGATCAACAGGCTTTTCCTAAGAGGTCAATCACTCCTCATATACAGATCTTTTCTAAAGACTTTCACCTAGTCTTCTAAATTGACCTTTTGGAGAATGGCAATCCAACTGGTTTCATGAATCATATCTAAAAAGCAAACTTTAAACAATCATTTTGAGAAAAGTTCTTTTGCATAAACTCTTTTAAAAAATATCAAATAGTCAGCAAGGTTGAAGTGGATAGGGGTAGCAAACAATATCATTATTTGAAAATTCTCATCAGGCGTTTTGGGGCCCACAATCAAGATATATAACGAGTTTATTTCACAAGGGACAGCCATCTCTTGTTTCTACACACAGTTAGGGATTATACAAACACATACTGAAGCAAAGAATGAAACTTCACTGCTCTGAATTCTGTTCACGAAAATACGCTTATCAGGAAAGCACACAAGCAGTTCCACAACAACTTTCCTGTCTGAACAACACTATCTCAAAAAAAGAACAAATTTTTCAATAGCAACGATCTGAGATGCGTGTGAAGAAGGTAACACATTAGGTTTTTACGTCCCGTTTGCTCTCGCCTGAAAGCCGACTGAAGGGCTTTCTTTCCCTCAACACCACCATTCATTTCGCCCACGTGCAACCGCCTACCACCCTCTCAGCCACGCCGAGAGTTTGTAAGGGCTTCTTTGGAATGAGACGGACAAAGTGAACTCGAGTAACAATAAAACAAACATTAAAACGCCCCATTCCCACACGCGGGGCACGTCGGGAGCGGGGCCTGGAGAGCCCCGGGAACCCTCCCGCCCCTTTTACCTCCCGGTCGTCGCCCGAGTCGTGCTCCCCGTCATCCGTCCCGAACCGAGCCCCGGCGTCCCCCTCCAGCTCCTCTTCCTCCTCGTCGTCGTCTTCGTCGTCGTCGTCGTCCTCATCGCCGGTGGACTCCGAGCGGCTCCGCTGGAACTCGAAGGGGACGGAGCGCGACCCCGAGCAGCTGGGGGCCCCCTCCATGTCCCGGTCCTCATCGGCCGGGGCCGGGCCTGCTCCTGCTCCTGCTCCTGCTCCCGCTCCCACTCCCACTCCATCCGCGCTCGACGGCCCCGAGACCCCGCTCCCAGCGCCCTCCTCCATGTCCACGGACCGCGATCACCGCGGGTCTCTCCGCGGCGCCGGGAGCATGCGCGGGGACGCCGCGGGGCACGCTGGGAAATGTAGTCAGAGCGGACACGGGGCAGAGCCACCACGCATGCGCTGAGTCACAACTGGTCTGCAGTTTTTATAGCCCGAGGGTTCTTTTTCTTAGTTTTTTTCCAGTGACTCTCTAGTGAAGCGATGGCACACGTTTAATTTGTCACAAAATAACGTCAATCACAAGATACCAGTTTCATTCGAAATAAGGTTTTAATTCTGTAACATAATGAAATGGAAGGGACCTTAAAGATCACCCAGTTCCAACCCTCTGCCATGGGCAGGGACACCATTCACTAGACCAGGCTGCTCAAAGCCCCATCCAACCTGGCCTTCAATACTTCCAGGGATGGGGCAGCCACAGCTTCTCTGAGCAACCTGTTCCTGTTCCTTACCATCCTCAAGGGAAGAATTTCTTCCCAATATCTAATTTAAACCTGCCCTCTGTCAGTCAAAAGCCATTCTCCCTTGTCCTGTCACTATGCGCCCTTGTAAGAAGTCACTTTCCAGCTCTCTTGTAGCCCCCTTAGGCACTGGAAGGTGGTCTAAGGTCTCCTCGGAGCCTTTTCCAGCCCGAACACCCCCTGCTCTCTCATCCTTTCCACGAGTACAAAAGAACTTCTGTTTAACAAACACGAATAAAAGAAGCAGTTTTAGAAATACCTGAAAAACCGAGAGGCCCAGCCCTAATTAACCTAATTCGGAGCACGGCCGCTAAGGCCCCAGAGGGCACACAATCCCAAGGCCATCCTTGGTACCCTCCAAGGAGCCCCGTGAACCCCCTCACAAACCGGCTCCTACCGCTCCTTACAGCCGGAAAGCGCTCCCGCCAGCGTCGCAAAACGAAGCCGTCGCGTGCCCGAAGCAGCGGCGGCTTGCCCGTCCTTTACCCTCACTGTCGCAAGGGCGGTCACGCGTGGCGGCGGCCGCGGCGGCGCAAGATGGCGGCGCTGCATAGGAGCCGGCGGAGGTGGCGGCGGCGCAGCCGGAGCCGCAGGGGGACGCCGCGCCGCCGCCCGCGGTGCCTACCGCCAGCGCCGCCCTCCCGCCGCCGCTCCGCCGCCGCCATGCCGCCGCGGCGGAGGGAGAGGCTACGGCGGGCGCTGGGGATGCGGCACCCGCGAAGCCCGCGGCGCCGGGCCCGGCCGCCTCCCCGCGGCGCTGGACCGGCAGAACGCTCGTGGCCGTGCTGCAGTTCCTGCGGCGCAGCAACCTCGCGAGTACCGAGGAGATGCCTGCGCCGCGAAGCCCGTCTGCTCGGCGACGACCTGGGCCGGCGCGCCTCAGCCCCGCCAGCGCCGGGCTCCTGGGGGCTCCGGCAGCCGACGCGGATCCGGAGAGGCGCTGCTCGGCCGGGGCACCGGCGCTGCCGCCATCGCCATCGGAGGCAGCGTCGCCACTGTTCGCGACTTCCAGCCCTGGGGTGGCCGCAGTTGCCGCCGTGCCGCCGGGGAAAGGTGGGGCCCGCGGCCGCTGCGGGGTCGGTGCCTCCTCCCGGCGGGACCCCTGGGAGAGGGGGCCAGTGTGCCGCTCGCAGCCTCGGGGTTTCCCCGTGGTGCTGGAACACGAGGGTCGGTGTCAGGTCATGCCCCCGAGAGTCTACCCCGGACTTCTGGGAGGTCCCTGTGTGTGTCATTTCCCATGATATCCGTGGAGAAGTCCGGATCTCCTGGAGCAAGGGACCAAGGGTGTCTGTCGTGTTTGAAGGGAGCACTGTCGAAGTGAGAGGTGCTTCCCCTTATCTTTGTGTCCCATTTCGACTAACAGAGTAGCAGGAGACTCTCGATTTCCATTGTAGTTAGCAGGGATGAGAATGGAGGTCTGATGTACAGGCTGCATTTTGATGGAAGCATAAGGTGCTTGTGGATGAGGCATTCTGCATTTCTGGATCGAGTTGCTGGGTACCTGAGATGTCCTTTGGATAATTAATTTCTGAGTGTTGTTAATCAAGGGGTTCCGTGAGGCAGCTTTACAGAATAGTATAATGAAATTTCAGGAACTGATAGTCTGAGTTCCAGTGAATGTACAGCATAAAGTCAGCTTGTTCCTGCCACCACCTAATATGATTGTTTTTATGTAAAAGATAAGACAATGAAAGTGTGTAACGACTGCTGTGTAGAACAGAGCTGTCAGAATGTTAAAAGTGTCCCTGTTCTGTGACAGTTGCGAGGTGCTCTTAGTGAATTGTTCACTTAATGAACTTAAGTTGCTTTTTTACTGGATGCAAAATAACTATAGTGGGTATGTCTTACATTCTGCTCCTCGTTTGAGAGTTTCTAGCCCTAGTGGTAAAGATAACTTATTCTGATAATATTAGTGGCTTCTTCCTTTATATGTATAATACTGGCTGAATTAGGCACTGGGTTAGATACCTTACAGGCAGCTGTTGGCAGGAAAAGCCCAAAAAGCTGCTGGAGGTGCCGGGAAAATCGGCTGCTGGACTGTAAAGTGCCACCACCCTTTCACCTCTGTGGTTTAGACTTGGTGCTGAACAATCACACGGCGTGTTTTGCTTGTTGCCTCACCTGACCAGCGGGTTGTGGCCACTGTTTGCTCACCAGCTCTTCCAGGCTGACAAGCTCTTGTTGTTTGCTGATGGTTTTGCAGTCGGAGGTGCCGTGGTTGTGGAGGATCAGCCAGATGTGAGCGCAGTGCTGTCGGCCTACAACCAGCAAGGGGACCCGACGCTGTACGAGGAGTACTACAGCGGGTTGAAACACTTCATTGAGTGCTCCCTGGACTGTCATCGAGCAGAGTTGTCTCAGCTGTTTTATCCTCTCTTTGTGCACATGTACTTGGAATTGGTCTACAATCAACACGAGAGTGAGGCAAAGTCTTTTTTTGAAAGGTAATTCATTTTCGTTTGTGCATTTGTGTTATTTTGTGTTTGCTGCTTTGGTTAAACCTGTGAGCTACAGTAGCATAGGTTTGTATACATATACATATGTCCATATTATTTTTCTTATTTAAAGTTGAAGAGATTTGAAATCTGAAGTAATGATGCCATCATGGATTGCAGTAACTGTTCTTAAATTGTTTTCCAGTCTCCTGTAGTCTGCATGTGCAGACTACATGCTTTTGAACTGTCCATTGGCAGATTTTGAACCATGTTTATGGTGTGCTGATGGGCTCCTTGCTGCAGAAGTATCAATGAAGAGGTGTTTCATCTTTAGGGAAAGATTGTGGGGTCGTTTTTTAGCACTTGAAAATTGCACTGAGATGCCAAAGTAATTTACACTCTAAGTATTTGCTAATATCATAGCATGTACATTGAAATTCTTCAAATGAGATTAAAGATGTTAATTTATGGCTAATCTATAATTGTCTGCGCTCTTGCTATGTTTCATTTGTTTATTAATTGAAAATAAAATTAAATTTAATTTGTTTTTTGGATTCAGACCAGTTATGAAATACTTCAATCCAAAAGGATAACTGCGTCTCCCTCCACATGATCAGCAAAAATGGTTCTGTAACGATAAATAGTTAAAATGCCCCTTGCCACAACTATTTTATAACAAGTCGAGTAAAAATGGAAAATTCTAAACATATGTTAGGTATTAGATAATGCAAGTGGAGAGTGAGAAACACGTAGACTGTGAAATGTATATATTCATATAATGAATCAGACATAAAGGCATCCAAGTAGTCCTGTGTAATAAAAAATGCCCTGTACTATATGGTACCACAAATTAGGGTTTAATTTCTGGAAATAAACATGTAAGCGTAACTATTTACTTCAGGCAAGAACCCTTTGGGTGTATGACATCCTGAGAGGTTCCATTTGTGTATTCTCTTCATCTTGTTTTTTAACTGCTGAATGCTCTTGCTATGCAGAGTAAATCACTGGTGTATCTTCCCCTGGATGAATTTAATTTCATCAGAAAAATAATCCCATATGTAGTCAGTAGCTTCCAAATGGTCCTTACAGATATGTTTTATGTTCAAGCAATGTAAATAAGTGTGCCCTTAGAAGATAATGTTTTCCTAATAAACCTTTGTTAAATTGTTTCAATAGGTTCCATGGGGATCAGGAGTGCTATTACCAGGATGACCTGCGGGTACTGTCTAGCTTAACCAAAAAAGAGCACATGAAAGGTAATGAGACCATGCTGGATTTCCGAACAAGCAAGTTTGTGCTGCGTATTTCCCGTGACTCTTACCAACTCTTGAAGAGGCATCTTCAGGAAAAGCAGAACAATCAGATCTGGAACATTGTTCAGGAGCATCTTTACATTGATATCTTTGATGGAATGCCTCGCAGCAAACAACAGATAGATGCTATGGTTGGAAGCTTGGCTGGGGAGGCAAAACGAGAGGCTAATAAAGCAAAGGTAGGAGGCAAAGATTTTTGCACTTCCATAATTAAACAAATTTCCCTAGTTTTTTAGGGAGATCCCATAGTATAGACTGACAATTGTAGCTTGAGATCTTAAAAGACAGCATGAACTGAACAAAGGAAGTGAACTGTACAAATAGTTGTTGACAGGAATAGAGAGATCAAGGTATGTCACTCTTTGGTGGAAGAAACTGCTGAACCTTTTGAGAGACAACCTTGTGTCCAGCCCACTGAAATAAACCAATTCATTAATTACTCTGGAGTTTTAAAGTGGACACTTGACTATTTGGCTTCCTCTTTTGTACAACAGATGTAATTTTTACTTGCCACCGGTTGTTACTGCAAGGGCTGTTTGTGTAATACCACAGTACTATACAAATAAATTAGGTAAGGTGTAGGGATTCCACCTTAAGGAAGGGCTAAGAGATGGTGGAAGAACTTATAGTTGTCCAGATCAGTTGCTAAGTAAACCAGAAAAACATGTACTACATTTGTTATGGGCTGAGCAGTAACATATGTGGTAATATTAAACAGAAGTTTT